GCACACACACACACACACACACACACACACACATGGATGCTTACTGCTGTGTCAGAGTTGTGGAGGAACAGCCATCCTCCACAAATCTCTTCCTATCTGTCTCAAGCACACACACACACACACACACACACACACACACACACACACACACACACACACACACACGCACGCACACACGCACGTACACATGCACATAACACACACACACGCACACACTCACGACTGCGTGCAGGAGCCATTACCACCCAGTGTGTGTAATCTTGTGATTTCTAAAAGGAGAAAGGCCATGCATCCTGTCTAAATTTTTCATTCAAGACCCTCTCTGTCTCTGTATAACAACTAATAAATAAGCAATGAATCCTGAGGACATAACGCAAAATGGACTCGATTTTTATGTCCTCCACACCACAAACACACAACAACCCCCTCTGGATACACATTCTGTCTTCCCTCCTCTATCTCTCTCTATCTCTCTCTGTTTTAAGAGCTTAATCTTTCGCTGTGTTTCATTTCCTTTAGTTTGTACCCAGTGAACTGTACTGGCCCTAATATGTGGGGTGGAAATGTGAATGTGTCTGTGTGTGTGTTTCTGTGTTTGTGGACTGGACATGACCTTTTCCTTTTTTTGAAATCCGATTTAGATTTAGAGCTCTGACTGGTGGCTTTGAATCAGTCTGAGAGGCATAGGTTTGTGAGCAGTTTATATTACCACATGAATAAATGCCACAAAATCACTGTCAGATTATGCTATGATTTCCCCAATCAACAAGTGAGTGGGTTGTTTCAGACAGACAGAAAGAGGTATATGCAATTTGTGAGAGGGAATCAACAGAGAAATGTGATGAAGGCAGGAAAAAATAAAGTCACATTAGATTGTGCTATTTCGCCATCTGGTGGTCCAAAATGAATAGTGCCTTCTCTGACACATGCCAGCTGAAATAGGGTTTAGTTGTCCATCAGCTAGCCAATACATTTATGTTGACAGTTTTGATTGATCCTTTGTGCTCAAACGAGGAAAGCTAGAACACCCAAAGCAAAGGGGTTTGGAGACGAAACGCTAAGTGGTCCGTTTACATTTGAGCCTAAGTGCTGATTACCATACATAACAAACAAATTCACTATTTTGGTTATGTTGAACGTGTTTGCTATTTTGAGAACACACAAGCGTGGGCTATCTGTCACTCACGGTTGTTACCAGGGTAACCAGATCGTTTTAAGGACCGCCTCTCGGTTTCAATAACCAATCCCGTCTTCAGAACGAGTCTGTTTACCATCAGCCGCGAAATGCGAACGTCCTATTTTCTGTCCATATCATAAGGTATTCTTTACTTCATTAAAAATACCATTACACACTTATTATTACGCTATTTCCATAACATTTAAGGCAATATGAACACTGAGCAGTCTGCTGAATCCAACTGCAGTCCAAATAGGTGTTCAGTTTCAACACCGGAAGGGAATGATTTGAAGAGCGGAGCACTGAAAAGGTAACTTGTTAGCAGTTAGCATCAACGCTAGCTAGCTGACCTGTCTGCCAGCATCGAAGATAGCTTTATTATCAGGGATTGCTGAATCGTTTGTTGGCAATTTAAGACATCATGTGTGTCGTTGATGTTTCTTTAAAATCCTAATGAGATGTCATGTTATGTCACTGTAGCATTAACCGAAGGGAAGTTAGGTTTACATTGAATATTCGTCAGATATTCACTCCGGCTTGTCTGTTCTCAGTGGCCCTCGCTTTTGACAACATTTCCCTTAAGGACCATCAATGTATTACCGTTTGAATAACCCTTTGTTCTTGTCAATAATGAATTGCTAGCTTGCTCATGTTAGTGAAGATGATGCTAATCAACTCGGATAAATGTGTCTAATGTGGCACAGTTCTTTAAAAAGATGTCCATGTTTTGTGCTCCAGTGACACGCACTTCTTTTATAGTATTTTATTTAATTGAATAGTAATGATAATTTCAATAGCTTCAATGTAATGTGATCCAGTGAATCATTGCACAATTGTATTGCTAGACTGGACAAGTAAGAAAATAATAATTTTATTAAATTGTGTTTTTTGTATTTTATATAAATAATCTTTATGAAAAATCAGCTGTATTTTTTTGTAACATTTTAAATAAGTAGTTGTTTTTACCAAAAAAAGCAATACATTTGATATTTTATTATAGTATGCTGAGTAATGCTTAGTTTGATAATCATCATTATTAAGCCATAGAAAAGAAACAGATAAGTGCTTGGCTTCAAATCTAAAGTTTATTTTGACTAGGGCTATAATCTAATAAATAATATTCAATATTAGCTTTTATATATTTCTTATCAAGTCAAACACATTGTGTCCCTAACAATAGATTTCCTCTTGTCTTTCCTTAGAACTCCATTCTCAAAGTTTAAGAGAGTAAACTCCAACTTCAAATCACCTGTAAGTAAACCCCCTCTATGACACACACACACACACACACACACACACACACACACACACACACACACACACACACACACACACACACACACACACACACAAGTAAGTAGTGCCACAGGTGTATCCCAGGATCATGGTTGTTGGTTTTGCACCTGACAGCTTCAAGTCCCTGAGACTGCTAAAGTTAGCCCTGCAGAGGAGGTGGCAGAGCTGGAGAAGAGGAGAGAGCAGCTGGACACAGAGATAGCACAGCTGGAGGCTGAGTGAGTACAGCTGTGTGTGTTTTCCTTCCTCAATTTCTGTCTTCGAGGTCCATCTTAGGTTGAGAGTAGGCATGCTGTGTTGATGATTCCGTTTAGTGTTGGAGGGAGGGAATCAACAGGCTTGATCTCCACTATTTATAGCGTAAAATACCTATTATGCAGGTGTGTGTCCTAAGGCTAGGCAATATATTGATATTGTGATATGAGACTAGGTATTGTCTTAGCTTTTGGGTATTGTAGCATGTCTAAGTGTTGTCTTTCCTAGTTTTAAAGGCATCATTACAGTAAAATCGGTCATTTTCTGAACTTCCGAGACCACTGTAGCTCGTTTGTTATTTCGTTCCACTCACTTATTCTACTTCTACTTACTTATTATATGCACATTACTCATAATTTATCAAAATTCTTATCCTACAATAGTGTCCCAATAATGGTATTGAGGTATTTTGTTCCCAAAAAGATTGTGATATTTGATTTTCACTATCTCACCAAATCCCCAGTGTGTCTTGCCTTCATATAGTTTTATTAATCTAATTTAAGATGTTTTAATTTTGTGTTAGCTGTTATTGTGTATGAGCATTTTTAAATATAATTTTTTGTGTGAAATGTATGTGTGTGTTTTAGGGGATGCAGAGTAGAAGAGCTGGAGCATCATATTGATATGCTGCATGAATACAATGACATCAAAGACATTGGACAGTCTCTCCTTGGCCGAATAGGTAAGAGAATTGCTAATTAATTGCTATTTTATCTTCACTCCACTGGCTGCCCGTTCATTCGAGGATTCATTTTAAAACTCTTTTATTTACTTTTAAAGCCCTCAATGGCCTGGCCCCGCCCTACCTCTCTGAGCTGTTACACAGCTACACGCCAACTCGCAGTCTCAGGTCAGCTGATCAGTTGCTCCTGAGGGTGCCAAAAACAAAGTCTAAGCGCAGAGGGGACGGTGCTTTCTCTGCTTCCGCCCCTAAACTGTGGAACGACCTGCCCTTGTTAATCAGACAGGCTCCCACACTGTCTGTTTTTAAATCCCGTCTTAAAACCCACCTCTTCTCCTTAGCATTTGTAAACAAGTAGATTGTTGCTTTTATTTGCTTTCAGTGGTCTATTGTTTTTATTATATGGCTGTTTTTAATTTTTTAATTATTACGTTTATTCTGGTTTGTTTTGTGTTTGTATCTTTTATTTTAAATGTATTTATTGTATGTTTTGTGAGCTTATCTCTCTGTACAGCACTTTGGTCTGAAGGTTTTAAAGTGCTATATCAATAAAGTTGGATTGGATTAGACATTTCAATACACTACTTTTAACTAGCATTTTACAATTAGTAAAACTAATTCGGGAACAAGTTATATTATTCAATAGCGTGATCATTATTTTCAGCACTACTTTTAGCTCAATGATTTTGATCCATTAAGCACAATGCTTTTCATATTCTGGGGCACAGTCATAGGCTTCCAAGCTAACTGAGGTGTGGCAATTTGAAAACAACATGAACAACCTCCAATATTTAGTTATAGGATAATATAATGCCCGACTTGTCTTCTAAAGCAGCCATTTTATAGGACGCATCCTCTCTTCCCTCCAGTAGTGGCCTTTTTCTATCCACGACAGATCAAATACATTTTTCAGTTATGACTAGTGAGTAATCTTTTGTATTGTCTGTTGATGCGACTCATGTTTTACTCCCCATAATTCATTTTGGAAACATCAATGTAAACTCTGTACAGACCAGATTCAACATACAATATGTCTCTTTTTGGTGTGATTTGGACCCAAGGAACACAAACTGCACAAATCGGTGTTAAAAACCTTTACAAAAATTACATTAGAATGGCACTCGCAGACTTCGTACATATATGTGCTCCTTGGAAGATCCGTTCTCCAGAATTGGGAAGTAGGTCTTCTGACTGTGTTGCAATTATGAGCTTGAAGCCATTATGTGAAAACAACACGGAAGCTACAGAGAAGATTTGCTTGTTTTTATTGCTAAGAAGGTCTAAACAACACTTTATATAGCTGTTGTAGAGTTCCCAAGAGGTTGCGTTCACATGCACTTCTACAATTATTCCAGCACCACAATCGCATCACTATCTTGTAAAATGTAAACAAAAGTGAGACATAAATAATGTGCATCTGTCTCGTGAATCGAATCCTGCTGCCAGACAGAAAAACAAACCAAAACTAAAAAGTTACTTAAGCATACATGATCAAAAAGATATGTGAATACACTATTATCTAAATAGGTATTTCAACTATAGCTCATAGTAGTCTGATTGCAGTACATTGAGAATGGTAAAGATGTAGGTTGTTGTACATCCAGCCACCAGAGGGCAACATAGCAGTGTCTCTGTTTCCTCGGTGTCTAAATCAAAAGCCCAAGTCTTACATTTATATTCTAAATGTAAACATAACTATCCCATAGTGGACACACAATGTAATTGGCATGCCTCTTAAATCTTAAAATCAATCTGATTATTTCCAAAAATGTCATTGGGTAAAGTGCGAGCTTGTTTAATTGCCATTTCATCCGGGGTGCTTTGGTAAATAGTCACCATAATCTCAAATCATTGATCAGATAGCAGCTAGTACAACATTTGCAGGCCCGTCTCTTTCTCAGAGGGATCAGAAAGTTGTGTTGACACTTCAGCTTTTCCCTAGGACTTGTGTCATACCTCCTGCGACACCGCATCACACTGTGTCAATCTGACTATCAGGGCACACACTAGTATAAGGAACTACGCTACAATGAGTGTTAAAACTATATTTGTGTGCTTATGGTGCAACTGCATGAAGTTGTGGAAGTGTGTGGAAGTTCACACCTTGCACACTGTGAGGAAGGCTTTGGTGAATCACAGCCAAGTCACATTACGGTATGTGTGTGTCATAACAAACATGACTTTTTACCTACTTAACATGCACCTGCTTGCGCATGGTGTCAAATTATTATTATGGACCTGATGCACTGTTTAATTCTTTGCGACACAAGCACAACACAGAGTTCTGGTTAATAAGTAGTGTCACTTATTTTGTCACTTCAGCTGACGAACTGGGCTGTCTTTTATTTAAATATAACAATATTATTAACACAAAGGGAATGCAATTAACTAGAAGCCGAAAGCTAAATGGATTAAATCACAAACAAACTGTTTTAATCACAAATAATTATTTAAAAAAGGGAGTTTTTTTAAAGTTGTTTTCAAGAAGAGACACACCTGAGGCCTGTACTATGAAGCAGGATTTTCACTTAGCCGGCTAACTTCAGGGAAAACTCTGGGTTTCCGGTCCTACGAAGCTGGTTCTCTTTTTAGCAGGCTAGATCTCCACGGTAACTTATGCTGAGCGGCTAACCTGCTCTGGAGCAGGTTAGGATGCAGGCTAAGAGCTCAACTCAGTGAAAGCACTGCCTGCTGACCAATCAGAGCTCAGTGTGCGGAGTTTAATAAAGCGGTCAAGTTTATATTACAGGAGAAAGCTAATACAGAAAAGCTGCTGTTGCAGGAAAGATGGCTGGCAAAAATCACCGACTGTGTGAACGTGAACATCTTCAGAGCAATCTGACTATTATAACATTAGCGTTAAGAAAGCTTAGTTAAATATCTGCCACAACATAAGTAACCGGATCAAAGTAACATTACGTAGCCTACAGTCTGCAGCACTGTGAGTGCAGACGTCAATGTGTCCCATTATCATTCATATCACATCATAATGTATCATGTATTTCCTTATCTGAGTCAGCTGAGCCGTATCTGGCCGTGCAACACTCACAGTGTCACATACTGTATGCAGAAGTATTATTTTAAGCAACACATTCAGTTGACGAAACACTCGAGTCAAATGCAATTAAAGTCAGATCCACTCGTGTCTTAGACGGGGCAGTGATATCATAAACCTGTTAATGTACGCATTCAAACACTTTTTCTGTTACCAGCTGTATTCACCTTGCAGGTGCAGCTATGTGGCTTTTATCCTGGATACAGTGTTTAAGTCATGGATGTTTAAAGTTTAACTTCTTCATATGTCTAATATTATAGTCATTCAGGAAGTATGACACGCTGCGCTGTCAGTACGCTTGTCCATGTTTGTGATTGGTCAAATGCTCCCAATACCACCCCTCTGATGTGAACGCTCACCTAACTAGATAGGACACGGCTGGCTTGAGCGATCCACTTGATAACCCGCGTCCTACTGTAGGACCGTTTAGCGTGAACGCGTATGTTTTGGATTAGGCCAACCGGCTAACTCAAACATATCCAGGTTAGGTTGAACCGGCTTCGTAGTACAGGCCTCAGGTCTCCTCATGCAGGTTTTAAATCTATACTGTGAGCTAAAAGCTTGCTATCTCTTTAAATGATCTCTCCGTACAGTACAGTGGAGAGTCAGGATGAAAATGACCTCTTAGTGAATGGAGATGGTGTTTCCCCTCTGACACAATGGCAGTCTTTCTCATCACACACATGCACGCACACACACACCCACACATAAATACAATCCCTGTCTGTCATGCAGGCACATGCATACACTTTTACATGCTATCACTCTAATCCCCCCTTCCTGCTCTCTCTCTCTCTCACTCTGTCAAACACACACTCACACTTTCACAAAGAGTCTACACTTAAACAGTGAGTTGCTCTTCTATGCTGTTATTCTGAGAGAGAGGGGCTGTGGAGGGAAAGAGGGGACAAGAGGAGATGCCCTGCAGTACCCTCTAAAGACAACTGTCCCTTTGTCTGTCCGTCTGTCTCTCTGTCTTTAGGTCATTGTCACCCCCCCAAGAAAAGTCTATTTTTGCCTATAGTCTTAAAGATTTACAGACACATTTTCAAACTGTTAAATCTAGGAGTTTTCCTAATGACACATTTGCCAGCATTGTCAGCTCAGCTTGCTGAATTTTAGAAAGGTTTAAACTATTTTTTAAAAGATGATCTTATATGTAATCAATGAGAATGCACATAAATACAAGTGGTCTGTTTTTATTTTTCAGTAGCGCTTTAAAGCTTTGTATACAATGTTTTTACCAAGTACAAGCCCTGTGTTTAAAGTGTGTCATTTGTTTGGTGCTGCGATCGTGGTCTGCTCAGTGTTTTGAGGATTGTTTGAAAAGTAGACTAGAGGGAGTTGACCCTGTAATCTGCTGAGGGGTCTCACCCTGGCTTTGCTATGTTTTGCAGCTGCTGTGAGGGGGACCACCACGCGAGAACTCTACAGCCAATTTGATCTTGAACTGGACGACTGAAGACACAAAGTTCAAATGAAGGTGGTGAGAATGATTCCTAGGAATAAGAGAGGAACGCCAGACACAAAGGCCAATTGTAAATAAGATGATGGATTGGACTAAAGATGTGTCTGTTGAACTCAAGCGGCTCCTTCAGACAGACAGTTTTACAGAGAGACCTCAGTAGGAATGGACAGGATAGGAGGATAATGACACTGGGTCTGCGGTCAGGCATGATATTTTATAAAAGGCCATTTACTCACAGCAATAACTTAAGGCTTTAATTTGTTTTGACATGTGTTTATGTAAATACTGTATTATAGTTAGTATTAAGGTATGCATGTTGGCTGCCTGAATGTTAATTACTTTTCTGACTTTGTTTTTAAAGGAAGGAAAGGAATGCTAGAGTAGTTACTTAGAGTGTAAAACATAATTACTAACTCCTAGTATAAAATGCTTTGTAAAATGACAATAACTTGTAATAAAAAGGGCACACGGACCCCCACAGACAGCGTGTTCCCATATGCACTATTAAAGTTCAGGAGGTACAGATGCATCATTGTTATAGCACCCTTTTTTTGGAACAAACGGCTATGAACTTTGTCAGAAGGCGTCACAATACACTGACAATATTTTATATTTATCCGTCCAACTATTTAAGTAAATGCATTTAAGTGTGTGTTAAAATGAATACATTTTTGTTTATTTTGGCCTGACTTTTATAACAGGCCTGTCTGCTGAATTAAACCCAAAATATGACACACACATTTGCTAACATCTGAACCAGATTCTTAAAACAATTCTAGTAAGGGAAAGAGGGTATTAGGTAATCTACAGTTTCCTGTATGTCCCCACATGTTCAACTAAAAAGAAAGGGTTGGGTACATGCTTCCTGTATTTATAAAAAAATCCCCAAATGTCTTCTTGACAGAAATGTCCAGTATATGTACTGTACAAACAAAACGCTGACTAGCTGCATAATGTACTGGGCGTGCCCTTATCTGTCTGAGAACCTCTGATGGTGGGTCTTCTCGAACTGATAGCGGCAGATGAGCTTCACAACCCTGATGATGTGTTATGTGTACAATTATGAGAGTGAATGATGAAAACGTGTGTATATGCATGTTTATCAATCATTTGCAGGTCAAAGCTCATCCTATCATTCTTTTACCATCTCATATACTGGGGTCAGTCTTTGGCATTGTTGCAAATGCAGACAACATATTGCAGGAGTTTAGAAATGTGTCCCTATTAATTTTGGCTCTTTCCACCACCTGGGAAATGACCTCTGTTAACCTGCAGCAGTGACCTACAGCACTCTCTTGTAGTATTAGTCTCTTTGGAAATCTTCCCTGGAAAAGCCATGTGTTTCATGAAATGGCTGTTGTGATCACTTTGTGATATGTCAGCCTCCTTCTGTGATTCAAAAGCAGGTCAGAGTTTTTTTCTATCGTGTCCTTGTGGGCTTCTACAAGACTTATTTGCTTAAATACACAATGCGTATGATTAGTCGGTTGACTTGACAGATATACACACAAGATTCAAAGTTGGCCCCTCCTCGGCTCAACGAAGGTTACAGTGCTTGCAAGCGGATGAAAGTCAACCTTACTATTTGTTGTTTGGGAACAAGCTTTGTCTACTTGTGTTTCGCCCTAGCTTTGGATGTTTTTCTTTCTGCATTTTCTCCCTCTAGGATGCTTGCTTAAGATCTGGCACCTGTTCACTTTTATAGAGGATGACACCCAGAAATGTCACAAAAACAGCTCAATCAGAAAATATAGACATAGTGCTTGAGAGGGCCACACACTTTTATTGGGTGATAAGCGATGATCGAGAGGGATTGTATTGGTTTGAGCCTAGATTTACATTTATTTCTAAAGAAATCCTACAAAGTGCCTTTTCAAAGTTTCCATAATCAACACAATTGTCAATAATTTGGCAACAACCAATGTTTGAGATTTTTTTTTACAGCTACTGAATTGATTACTTGGCCTGATTATAATTAATGATGCAACTAACAAATATTCAGAATAAATATGTGGGGTTTTTTTTCAGTCAGAAAAACATAGTTTTAAAAGACTAACAAAAGCTACAAGCTAAGGCTCTATCTATAATCATCTTTCTGCCTGGCCCTGCATTCGGCATTTTTGAATATGTGAAAGCTACTGTTTCTTTTTGCAGGTTTTCACTTACACAGTAAATTCAAGGAATCGCCTGAGGGGCGTTCGGTTGCAGCTTTCTGGCTAACGAGCTTTAGCTTTTATTGTAAATCTTGGTCCAAAGTGATTATCATAAAAATAACTGGTATTTCATGATTTGGTTTGACATCCTGTCCCGATTCTACAGGGATCCCTTCAGTGACATATCTTGTAGCTGGGTCGTAGAGATCGATGGAGCTTGTAAGGCTCATGTTACACTGTTCCGCATCAGGGTCTCGTTGTCACTACTGGGTGGAAACCGCTTTACTAGCCTGCCTCGCTTTCTCTGTTTCCGTCGGCAAGCAGGCAGCGCCGCATTTCCTCTCCACCAGTGCCGCAAACCCCGCCCCCACCGGATGGGATGTGTGAATAATCGCGATCCCCCATTGACCCAGACTCCTGTCCGTCACCGCTTATTCCTGATGCACTGATGGGACGCTGACGGTGGTGGGCGGGCGCAGCTAAGAAAATTATAAGGTCATTTGAATTACGCTTGCTAGCGAGTTTATCGGCAACAATGAACCCAGAAATGATATCAATGATTGTGACAATGAACGGATGATGATCGCGGGGTCAAAGTCGACGCTCACAGTCAGGAGTATTTGACTCCCGGCCCACCGGAGGAGAGGAGAGCTCGTTGTGGTATTACAGCAGGAGGGGATCCCGGTGCGTGTGACTGTCTCTGCGTGCGTCTCTGTCAAGCCAAGCGAGCGGCAGTGAGCAGCGGACAGGGCGACCAGGCTGGCCTGTAAGCCGATCAGGAGAGGAATCGCACACAACGAGTTTCACGTTCGGGATTTCATGCTGTGAACGAGGGGTGCAAGGTATGTACGCAAAATGCATTCGATCATCTCAGGGGCCACGTCCCGAGTAGCTCCCCCCGCGAGGTTCGACTCCTCGGATGATTATTATCTGCTAGAGAAAGGGAAAGAGCCCGGTTATTGTCCTCTGTCAACCTTGTGGGCGATCGACCCACTGGCGGGACACAAGAGGCGGCTTTAATATCAGGCAGCTCTCTGTCCATGAAAGGTAATTTATGTGAACGAGGACTGCATATTCAGCATGCGTCTCCTTGCTAAAAGAGACTGCTGTCACACTGTCCATCCGCTTAAGCCGAGGCGCACTATGTGCTGCGCATCCAGCTTCCCAGGCGCGCCTATTACAATGATAACCTACATCAGGCTACCACCTTAAACATCGTCCAACATGGTACCGATTGAAGGCCTTTCTGAAAGCGCACATGGCACGGTTAGCCGAGGCGTAGTCTAACTAACGGTGGGTTGAGCCTCGCTATCATTTCCCCGTCCACTACTGCAATATGATGCTACGCGTTTTTTAAATGTCCGGGTGTAGCAGCAGCAGCAGCGGATGATGAAGCTCTTTTTTTCTCTCCTGCTCTCTAAATGCATTATTTCCCCTTGACGTATGACAAATCCCATCATGTCGTACATTCCGAGTATTTGTATTTGTCACATACCGTTGTGTTTTAGCAGCTAGCTGACCTATGCTATCCTATTGCCATCATCACATTCACATTACAGCCACATGCAGGGAGAACTATCAATAAATATACACTCCGCATCTTGGCTCTTGGAAAAAAAAGGCTGCCAGAAAACAGATGTCCTATAAATAAAGGCCCAGTTGTTGTGAAATGACATCCCTGCAGCTTTATTTCTACATAGACCGATAAATAAATAATAAGAAGTCATGTCAACCTATCGTTTACTGCTTTGGGATCATTTTCCTAGCTATCAGGTGGCACTGGACACCAATGTCAACACATGCTATTCTCTGCTGCTCTCAGCTGACACTACAGAACATTTGCTTTGAGTTAGGGCTGTCCCAAGGTCTTCGTAGCCTTGGGTTTTATTCAACTGCACAGGAAAATAATACTCATGTGTTATTCTTCAAACATGTCTGATGTGTATTACCACTTACAGATTCCATGACAACATACACTTAAATATAGGTATTCTCTTCCTCCTTTACTGCAAGCCCTGCACTGGGCCAGAGCTGAGTCAGTCGATATGATGGGCGCGGGGTGTGTAAACAGAGTTATAGTAGATTACATTCTAAAGTGGTTGGCTTGAAGATGTTCAACATCCGTTGTCTTTGTTTACTTTAACCGCATGTAACCTTACTCCTACTAAACTGATGTTTGGTCTAAAAATATTTGTGATCAGTTTCTGTGGTCTGAAGCTATTATCTGTATGTATTTAATTGTAAGTGTGTGTGTGTGTGTGTGTGCCTTCTTCCAGGATGATGCGTCTAGCGTGTTCCACAGCCCTGCTGTTTGTGTTGAGACTGCTGGTGGGCTTGCCTTGGTACCAGGTTCTCCCGGCCATCCTGATCTTCTACCTGGGAAGCGGAGGATGGAGCTTCCTGCATGTTTTTGCCAAAACAATTGGCAGAGACTTACAGTAAGCATGGGGGTGTTGTGTATGTGTTGGCATGCTTCTAATGCTTAACAATGTGTGCCCACAACTGCAATTCAAAATGTTCTTCTCCTGAGTTGTTGCCTCGAGAATCCTCGTGTAGTGTTCTCCAATGTTAAGCCTTGCAAAAATGTAGCCCGACATCTTATAAAGGCAACTTTTAAAGACTCGAGACGATGAGGTCTCTTTCTCCTCAGGCCTGTTGTACACGTTTCAAAACCCGACATGGCAGGTAGTCTGAAATATTTTCAACATACATGTAGGACAATAGAGAAAAAGAAGGAGAAGCAAAATCTAATATTAGCCTTACCTACAGCCAATATTTACAGTTTGGGGTAACTATAGTAATTGGTTTGTGATTAACTTCCTTATTTTACCTTTTATAGGTGCAGTAATGCTAAAACAGGAAATTGTAAAACTTTTATGACCTCTTCTTGACCTATAAGCCAAAGTGACTAAACATAATTAGCACTCTTCTGTGGTTTTGTGTAAATATGCCCTCCTTTATCTCTTGGAGAGATAAAATTATCAGTTTCCAAGGGTTTATTTTTAGAGCCTGACTTTACTAATTCTTCTACTTCTCAGTACCGATGCTTCAGCTACCTAGTTATGTGCACTTGCTCATATAAAATATATATAGTTTTTAATTTGATTTGAATCTAATGATGTTAGACTGCGAGATAGGCTTGAGCTTCTCTTCTGTTGAGGCAGGTGTAAAAGCAAAAAGCTTTATTAAGTTATTTTTGAAAAGCTAAACACCAACAAATATGGATTGAAGCAGAGCAAAACATGTTTTGGGTTTGGAACATTATTACATATAGCCTTTTTTAGATACATTTAGACTTCTCCACTTTGTAACCCTATGGAAACTCAACCTTAGTATTCACATTTCAGTTTTTTTCAAGGAGCAGTTATTTTCTCTTGGTGGTTTAGTTGTAAAGTATTTGTGCTAGAATAAGTTTTGAACAGCATTGTAGAGAAGCTTTAGAAAAATAAATAAATATGAGATCTCAAAATAGAAAATAAAACGGTACTAAAAAGCAAAAATATATTCAAGTTGACCTTGAAAGATTCTAATCTGTAGACGTTCAGACAAATAAACGCTTTGAAGGGTGTCTAGAGAAGGACATTAATAACATAGAGTAAAGTTCATGCAGCTCCTTGGTTGAAAGCTTTTATTGCAGCCAGGTGTGCTTACCAAATCACTGCAACAGCATAAATAGATGAAATTTATCTGGATCAACAGGATGCCAATATGTAGAAATAATATCATCACTGCCATGGCCTACCTAGCTCATTAGACTTTTATGATATTCCTGAAATTACACTCTGCCCAGAACAATGCCCAATATCTCTACCTTTACACCAGAAATGTAAATTATCAAGTGATATCTTCTATCTGAGCAGACTTTGCCGTGTGGAGCCACCCAGACATTGGATGTTTAATCTGTCGTGATGTTTTATGCTTCATGTCATACATTTGGCGTAATATAGGTAAAAGATGACCTTAGTCATTTTACTGTAAATGTAGTCGAGCTTTAAAGTGTTTAGCTTTTAATATCAAAGTATATTATGAATGGCAATTGTAGTTCTGCTGCAAATTGACTTTTAATGGTGCACTATGAATTTAAAATATAAATTGATATCAAGGCTTACCCTTATTAGTTAGTAAAACAGCATACAAATCAGACACTTATTGAGATAAGTGATGTGACTGTAGCAATGAACATTAAGCTAGCTTTATCTTTTTTGTGAAAGACAGTATATATTTGCATGTTTAATGTTTGCATTATAGACTGTTTTAAAAATGTTGACATTGGACCAGGAACAACTAGGATATCTTTCTAAAAACTTGTGTTCCTTGGAAGATGGCTTCCATTAATTAAAGCATATGCAGTTTGTATATTATGCAGTAAAACATACTAAACCAAGGCAGTTTCAGGTCAACTTGATTGACTTTTCCATCAAATAAGAAATTGGCTTTAATTACACCAGGAAGAGTTTTTTTACCCAGCTGCAAAAAAAACGAATAATATTTCCTCTTGCTCCTTCAGTGCGGCCGTTGTGCTGTTGAAGGTGAAGATGAATGTCAGACGTCACCTCAAAGAGAAAAACACCATTCCCAAGATCTTTGCTGAAACTGTGCAACGCCACGGGGACAAAACAGCTCTGATCTTCGAGGGGACCGGGGAGAAGTGGACCTTCAAACAGTTGGACGAATACTCCAACAGAGTGGCCAACCTGCTGCTGGAACGGGGCTTCAGGGTAAGTCCTGCAAAACAATATACACCAGAGAAACTGGGAAAAAGATATCCGTTACAAAATAAACATCTTTTACCACTACCTTTTTATTTTTCTGAGTTGGACACTTAAAGAAAGAGTCAGAGATAGTCTCCTTTTTATTAAGGTTTATTTTGGTGTTTTTCAACCTGGATATCAACCCCTATTTTCGCATGACTTTTGTTTTTGTCTAATGGGACAACACTTTTTTTTTAATTGATCTAGTTTTAAGTGAGTGCTACAGGCTCAAATTGGGCTTCAATGTAATAGCAAAAATGGTGAGACACTTAAATAACAATCTGAGCCTGTCAGTGGCAAAAAACAAGCACTTTTAGTGGTCATACATTGACATTCAGAATGTCCCTCAATAAGAACAGTGTTTGACGTTTAGTGGCTGAGTGTTCGCACCCAATACTGGATTAATTTCAAAAATGTCTCATTATTAACCTCATATAGTTACTGAGAAACAAAAACACGTAAAAAAGACAATTCATAATTCCTCAAAATGTCTAAATGTCTCTCAGATTTTCCCTCTAGGAGAGAGCATGACATGACTGTTAAAGAGACTCATGTTGAATAAAAATACATTTTTGTCAATCTGTTGTTGGCAATGAGCTTGACAAGCCCCTACTTTTGTTGTTTCTCTGTTCAGGATGGTGACGTGGTGGCCCTTTTCATGGAGAACAGGTCCCAGTACGTGGGCCTCTGGCTGGGCATGGCTAAGATCGGAGTAGAGGCCGCTCTCATCAACTTCAATCTGAGAATGGAGGCCTTGGTCCACTGTTTCACCATCTCCAATGCCAAAGCTGTGGTGTATGGCTCAGAGCTGAATGATGGTAAGATCAGAGGGGTTGTGTAGAGATAAGAGTGTGGGAAGAATGTATTTGTTTTAGTCGTAACATTTCCAATAGTATTGCCAAAATCTGAATTTGTCTCAGAGGGCTTACAATGTGCACAGCAGTGACTTCTGCTGCTGAGTGCTCTTGTGTTTCCGCTGTGATGAGAGAGGTGAGTGGTGCAGGGAGAAAGCAGAGGTCATAAAAGATAGATGGGTTTCAGAGGAGGTGTCTCTTCAATATTAGTCAATGGTGCTTAAATGGCTGATGGATGGAAAGAAGAAGGAGAGGTAATGAAGAGGGAAGTGGAGAAGAAATGTCTCCATTATCTACAAGGTGGTCAGAGAAAAGATAAATGAATATGGGGGAAAAAACAACAAAGCTGATAAACCCAGCCCAGTTGAGTCACCTACATTAGCGATTCTGTTAACAGATCCCTTGTTTGAACGGAATAATAATTACAGCCCATAAAATAATTAATTATCTCTGTTTGCCTCCTACCCAGTTATGGTCTTGACCTTTAATAAGTGATGTGTTTAGTAATAAAAAAACACATTAGATGTAACATTTAAATCAACAATTGCATAATCACGTGTGTTTTTATATCCAAACATGAAATAATTGCTTGTACTAGTGTCTAAACCTACAAAAGAGCAGAAGGGTCAGGCATGAAGATTTATTTGTATCAAGCTTTTGGAGAATAAAGTCAAACATTCAATATACTGTATATACACTCTTGATAGTAGTTTAATTTACATTTTCAATTTATTCCCATTTTCAATTTATCCTCTCCTTTTCCATTATGCCTGGCCCTAATATTCATCCATACCGATCTACTTCCCCGCAGTGTATTATTAAACATGGCTCGTATTCATTAGACTTGGAAGCCACTGCTAAAGTAGCATTGCAGCAGCTCAGTTGAATTGTCAAACATAAATTAGGGATCTATTTCAATCTCCCCAAGACATTCCTTTTGGGTCCCTGCCCAATCTGAAAAGCCCTGATCTCAACAGCTACTGTATAAGGGTGAATGAGTTTTGAGCTGATCACCCTGGGATTGATGGATCAGTATTTGGATCCTGGACTTTTCATAGGCTTTTATGCCATCAAGTAATTGAAAATACAGGCTCTTTGCTATAGAGCTGGCCAGCAGCATTAGTACTGAGCCAGCATGAAGTAAGACTTTTAAATCAAGACAAACTGTCTTTCTTTCAGGGGGAAATATGGTCGCTGTTTCAAATGTGTTCTGCTTGGCTCACAGTCATATTCATAAGATTTCTCTTTTCTTTCTCTCTCCCCCACCTTGCAACGGACAACCCAAGTTATTTTAACCTATTCTATACCCCTATTCCTTGTCTTCTATCACCCCATCTTTCCTCTCTTTCAAAGCAAAGTACTCCAGGTTTGTGGTGCTTAAAATTTGTACCACATAAAGTTCTGTTCAATTAGGCTAGTGAAATGACACAACTAACTCTTATGTGTTCCTCTTGTTCTTACAGCGGTCTCTGGGGTCCACAGTTCAATGGGGAAGAAGGTGCAGATGTTTTGCTCCGGAGACTGGGACCCCAAGCGCGTCCCTCAGGGAACCGAGTGCCTGGAGCCGCTGCTGGACGCCGCGCCAACTCACCTGCCCAGCCTGCCGCAACGCTGCTTCACAGGTGAGTCTCCCAACATTTTAAAAGTGATTTAACATTTTTCCGATGTTTCTGGGAGTCATTTTAAATAATATTAGTTTAGATGTCCTGGTCATCAGTAATGAAAACTCTCCCTACTCTAACCTACACAACACAGAAGTGTCCAAAACCTTTTTTTGCATTTACTGAAAGTATGGCAGCACAGACCAGTTGATAAGTGATGATTAACACTTTTCTGGCAAAGCAATTACTCAATCCCTCATACTGAAAATGAAACTCTTACTCACTTTTACTCTTTCATTAAGAACGGTGTATTAATAATTAGGGATGGGAACGATTAATCGAATATTCAAATATTCAAAATTATTCAGGTGTTCGAATAATTATTCAGGTATTCGAATATGAGTTATTCATTTTTTTATTCATTTTTTTTTTTTTTTTTTGGGAGGGATGCCTTAGTTGATTACATATTATCAAATTGAATAATTCAATGTATACGACAGTGCCATAGCTAAATGTGTTGGGTGACGTCTAAAGGTGTGTTTTGCTCCGCACAGCGGGCAGAGCTGCAGGTGCTGATCTCTCTCTCTCGCGTCCAGTTATACTTCACTCGCGTTTATGTCCAAATCCATCAGATCTAGCTAGTTCTAGCTAATGATATGGCTGCTGCCCCTCCCTACACACAGATCACGCAGACTCAAACCTCATCTTATGCCCAGATCCCAGCTGAAAGGGTCTTCTCTACAGCTGGCCTGATTGTGAATCACCTCTCCCCTGAGTAGACATGCTCATATTCTTAAAGAAGAATGAGTATTGAATAGCTGCATTCTGTGCATAGGCCCTGTTACAGGTTGTTGATCTCTGTTGTCACGGGTTACGTTACCTTAATCCCTCTTTCATTTAAAAACCAAGTTATGTTTTAAGCATGAAAGCTGTAGGCCTATAGCTGTCAACTGTTCAAACTGTGATCACCAGTTCAATACATTTGACAAATTCAACTTGGTTTCTTTACTT